TAGTTGGAGACTTTGGTCTGAAATGACCACAAAATAGTGGGTGTGTTTTGAACCCCTTCCCCATGTGCAATTCTGACAGTGATTGATTATCTTTATCTAAGTTTAGATAAGACTAGAAAACATCAAAATGGCCAGTATGGTTTTGGCACTCTTGAGGTAAAGAGCTTTGATGCTTATCCAAACCTTCCTTTGTGTACCTTGCAAGGAGACAAGCCAAACATGTAGGAAGGGTGGATAGATAACCATCCTGTTGATACCCTGTTGTCTCTTTTACCCTCTCCTTTCCTCCAAGAACCATTTCTTCATATGTCTTCCTCCCATCCCAAAAATAAAGCAAAAAGAAGGAGTAAAAAGAAACCCAAAGAAAATTTCCTGTTACTGATTCACTCTGTTACTGCAGCAATGTGGCAGGCAGCAAAATTTATATGGACATAATGTTTTTCATTTTGTTTTTCATAATTATTCTTTGACTAATTTTCATTTATTTACTTTTACAATGTGGAGATTAAAGTTGTAAAAAAAAGGATTAAAGATAATCCTAGCAAGAATGAGGGAATTTTGATGCGGAGATTAAAATTGGAAAACTCATAAAGTAAAGACAGACCTCACAAGAATAAGTTAATTTTGGAGAAAAAAAGATTAAATAGAGAATTATTTCAAAATCTGGTTGACTTTCTGCTAAGATCTTGTTTCTGAAGATGTTTGATTGAATTTTGTTAAAAGTTTAATGCATAGATAAATGACGATAGAATTTATGGAAACATCTAAAGTAAATTATAGATAAGAATATGTTTCACACAAAAGTAAAAACTAATATCAAACAATATAGGCCATTGTAGGGATACAGAAAGCACTTATCTCCCTTTGGTGGTGATAAATCATGTGGGTCACATGACAGCCACTTAATGATATCACTCCATACCGAGACAAAGACACCAGTCAATTTCAGTTTGTTTACAGCAGATAAACTGTAAGGTTGCTTTCTTTAGCTCAGCTGCTGCCCTCCCTACCCTTGGCCTGGACTGAGGCCAAATCTACCCCACCCTAGCAGCTTACAAGTCCATGATGCTATTTCTCTTTGGGAATATATCTTTTCCAGATATAGAAAGAAACTCCAGCTCATGGTCCTCAATTTAGAAAAATCCAAGAATTGCTGTTTCCTATTTGGAAATATGCCCTCACCTAGGACACAGTTGATGAATCTAAACCATTTGTATCTGTAATTCTAAACATGGCTTCTCCAGACACAGGAGTATCTCCATATTATATGTAAGACCCTTCCTTTTTGTTTCTTTTTACACTCTGCTCTGCAGATATATGTGATATACTATTCTCTGCATGAGACACATGTGTGTATATTATATATATATATATATATATATATATATATATAGAGAGAGAGAGAGAGAGAGAGAGAGAGATAGATAGATAGATAGATCTGTGTATGTCTTAGTGGTATAAAAGTCTCTCTCTGAGAACAAAGCATGTTTGTCATTCCTTTTATTTTCAGCTATTCCAGTCTGAAGTATGGCGTTATTATATTACAAATATAATAATGCACATAATGGGGGAAATGTAAATGGGAGAATAAACCTTTCTTCCATAGCTCTCTCCTGTTACACCATTAACATCTAGCTATTTTACTTGTTATGGTTGCATTAAAATTAAAGTCTATATTAAATCTTTGTTTTAGAGATCCCACATTTCACTTGTAGTATTAGATGAAATAGTCTTTAAATTTCTGAGATAAATCATTGACAATTATTATGAATTAGTTTCTCCTGGTATAAAAAAATAATGACATATATGAAACTGGTATTTTGTTAAGTCCTTAATATTTTTAAGTTTTGAAATATATTTTTAGACATTCTCCTGTTGCACTTTGAACTTTTATCATCAGTCTTTATAAGTATTCCTGGTTTTATAAACATTTTAGTACAATCTGTTATTGTTAATATGAATACAATGCTACTTGTTGTTTTTCAGTGCATGAGTTAATTATCTCCCTTGTACAGACAATAGGAGATATATATATATATATATATATATATATATAAAGGTAAAAAAAATCTGTGGGTAAGTAATCCAAGTTGATCCTATTGATATAAAAATATTAAAACTGATCCACGAAAGAGAGCTCAATATAATTTTTTTTTATTATAGAGCATATGAATGAATTACAATTAATGAGATCCAAATGATTTACCTCACACAGATGATCATTTCGCCCATGGGAAAGTCGTTTTTCCCTGGACTTATCAATGTAAATATATTTACTAAATTTACTAAAAAAATGTATTTGCATTGATAAGTCCAGGGAAAAACCACATCCCCATGGACAAAATGATCATCTGTATAAGGTAAATTGTTTGGATCTCATTAACTGTAATTCACAAATAAATATATATGTATGTATGTATGTATGTATGTCTATATTTCTGAGATGAGGTATTATGTACACTATTTACATTATTCGGACTATTGTTCTCATCTTTGTTGCCATATTTATCAAAACATTTCAGCCATTGTATGCTCCTGCCTTCTTCAGGTGCTTGGAATGTCGAAGTGAACCCTTTATTTTGCTATGCCTTTATCTACTGTGCCATGTGTCCTTAAAGTGTTGGTTAGATCCAGTGACAGGACCCAAATAGGTTTGAGTTCACTACCTGGTTAAAGCAGTGGAGAACTTGGAGAGGGGAATTAACTGGAGATAACTGATAACTGACATCCATTATACATGGCACATGGAAATAGAACAGTCTACTCCAGCGAGTGAAATGAAGAGTTCAGTTTGACATTCCAACCACCTGAAGAAGGCCGGAGCATACAAAAGCTGAAACATTGTGATAAATATGGCAACAAAGATGAGGACAATAGTCTTAATAATGTAAATATATATATATATATATATATATATATATATATATATATATATATATATATATGTGTGTGTGTGTGTGTGTGTGTGTGTGTGTGTATAAAATAAAATATAGTTTTAGGGTATGCTATACATATAGGTTAAAGTACTCAATATCAGAGAAGTAGCAGATGCAAATATAAAAGTGAACATTCAAGTCAACACCTAGAGGCAAGAGTCTGTTTCATGCTAAATACAATCATCAGGCCTGACAACTGCATTTAGCATGAAACAGACTGTTGTCTGTGGGTGTTGATTTCAATATTTACTTTTATACTTATACTGTATACTATGTATACATGTATATACCCGTGTAATGCACAATTTCATGTATTGTGTGACCACCAAATTTTCACTTTTAACAAATGACTTTATCCTGTATCTTGAGTATCATATGAGTTCCTTTTTTTTTGAGAGACGAAATTACAATAGACTAACCTCTTTTCCTCTATCTCTTTATCCCATATTGTAGTTAAAAAGTAAAAGAGAATGGTAAAAGTATCGTTAGTAACACCATGCTCAGTGCATGAATGTGTACAGCTAAATATCTTATAAGTGTAAATAATGGAAAAGATACATATTCACTATGTTGGTATTTTATAATATGATACCAATATGTGTACATTAACCCCTTAAAATTAGCTTCAAAATTAGGTCTTCAAAAGTTGCACCATATGCAAGTATATATGGTATGTATATAATTATTTCACCCCACTAAGACACAGAGGCATTACTATAAAGTAAAAGAGTGTTAGAGAATATGAGAAAAACTACTATTAAGGAGAGAGAACAATAAAAGAACAAGAATTAAGAAGACAGAAGATAACGATTGACATTGTATTTAAACTTCCCCTAAGCAAGGCACTGAAGTCACTAAGACACAAAGGGGTTACTGAGTGTTAGAGAATAATAGAAAAACTACTATTAAGGAGAGAGAACAATAAAAGAACAAGAATTAAGAAGACAGAAGATAATGATTGACATTGTATTTAAATTTTTGAAAATGAAAGTAAACTGGGAAGCAAGAATCCGGAAGAGCGTTCCACAAGCAAGAAGCGCAAGAGAAGAAACTGTGAGCATAGAAATTATGGTAACATCTTGCCATTTCAATTGTAAAATTTGTTGAGACTGTGCTACCAATCTAGTAATGTGTTTAAATTTATAAAGTCTAGATGCCATAGAGAAAAGTTCATTAAAACAGTTACCATGAAAAATTTATAGAAAAGGCATAGTGAAGCTACATTATGGTTGTGGGAAAGTGACTGAAGGTGAGATGCCAGTTCAGGATCAATAACATTGCAAATTCTTTTTTGGATTTATCAATAATCTCTAAATATATAGCTGGAGCATCTGACCAGATGTATATATATATATATATATATATATATATATATAGATAAGATTAGAAGGAAAAGAGTACAATGTTCATAACAATTAATTTAAAAGAGGGTTCAATACAAAGTTGAGCAATATTCTTTATTTTAGGATATTGCAATTGAAAAACATGTCAAAATCACTACACAATTGTGTATCAATGCATCTCATCAGGCGAGTGCCTGGTAAGATGCGTTGATATGCATGAAAACACAACTGCAATTGCGTAGTGATTTTGACGTTTTCTATATATATATATATATATATATATATATATATATATATATATATATATAATACAGTCAAAAATATACAAATAAATTTTCTATTTGATTAGAATTTTTAATAAGTATTTCATTTAATCTCATTTGTAAATGAAACCGCTTCTAGTATGAGTTGAACTCACATCACTTATCCTTGAATGCTGGTCTTATTGATTAAGCTTTGAATGATTGATTTGTTTTCTATGACTTATCAACCCTTTGCAGGTCATTTAAAACCAGGAAATGTTTTTATATTGTAAATTTTTTTTTGTAGATAATGATGGTTTGCTGATACAAGTCTTACTAATTACCATATAGTTAGGGGAGAAAAGATGGATTCATACCTTTCCCAAGGAGATTTGTGCATATAACAAACCCAACTGGAATTGAAGCCTTTCAACTAACAATTCCAAGCCATTATTCATTACACTAACCACACATCCAAGCTTACAGCATTTGGTATTCCCAAGCAGTCACCCATCTAGGTACCAACCAAGCTCAATATTGCTTAACTTTAGTGATTGTACAGGAACTGGTGTTTCAGTATTAGGCCATGAAGGACAACCAATATGATTTGTCCAAATTTAGCCATACATGAAAAGTTTTGGCCTCAATAATTTCCTATAATCTGACTAAATGTACGATTTTTCTTTGAAGGGATTTCTTAGTTGAGCTGAGAACTTTTTATACAATCATTGTATGTGTGGATTGCATGATAATTATTATAATAATATAATTCAGTAATAATTTTCAAAATAAACTACTTTTTCATATATTATTTGTAGGATATTTTTTTTATTGATCAGCTGGAAATAATTTTCACAATTAGACATTAGACAAATTATTCAACAAAATAAAACTCTTAACAGAAATTTCCTTCGCAAAATATTTTCTTCTCTACCAAACAAGCTCTAATGACTTGATCGATTGACTGCAGATGACAGGAAGTTCCATCCCTGCCATTCTAGGGATCAACTTTGAATGGTGCATTTACTGGGTTAAGTGTGTTGTATCAAAGAACTTTACTAACTTGTCATTAATTTTGAAAAAAAAACAGTTAAAGAAAAAAAATTTAAGTCTTTGTTTTTGTCAAAATTTCCCCCTTTTTTTGTAAAAATAACAATACAAAGAATTGAACTATTTAACCAAATTTAATGATAATTATTAAAAAGGCATCATCAAATTCAAGAAAAAATTTCTAATGCATATAAAAACGATGACAAAATAATTAGGGAAAAATGAAGAATAAGTTTAAGTGGTTATATTTGAGTGGTCAACTATACAACCACTTTTTGATGTGTTAGAACAGTCAAGGCTAATCAGGGTAAAAATGATAACGGGAATATTAGCCATTTCCTTATAAAGAAACATTTGGCATTTATTGACCAAGTAGCTAGTAATGCTTTTGGTTGAAATCTTTCTCTTCAAACAATTTTTCAGGAACATAGGTTTCTTAATTCCTGTAGCAGTTATTGTTGTTACCATTATTGATAGAGGTTTCCTTCCGAACCCTTTTTTTTTGTACTATTGTCAAAGTTTATAAAATTTTTCTCTTCAAAGAAATTTTTCAGGGAAATAGGTTTCTCAAGTCCAGTAGCTGTTATCACTGTTTTCATTATTGATACAAGTTTCCTTCCTAGTTTGATGTAGTATGGAACATCAACATCTTGATTATGTTATCATTTTCTCTTTGAGTTACATGTGATATCCGTTTTAATTGTTGCTGCTGTTGAAAGTCCTCAAGTGATGTGGTTTCTGTTATTTGGTACAGTTCTTTGCTTGTGATTGTGTAGTGCCAGTCTCCAAGGTTGAAAGAAGGATGGTGTTGACAAAGACCAACAGGATTCATTTGCTCAATCATATTTAACCATTGATATTAGAAGGCAGTTGTATACAGCTGAGAATTAAGATATTTCTGAACAGGTGTGGCACTATGCACAACATCGATATGAAAGTCTGATGAGGCTATTTAAGAAGATGACTTGTTATCAAATTTATTGGTTTTGTAGCAACTTGCAGGGGATTCGGGGTGCAATTTAGATTCTCAACAAGGGATCTGAGTAGTAAAATATTTCTACTTCTATGTGCCATTTTCCTTTAGAACAATGACACTCATGGCTCGATAAAACTTCCTATCCTTTGTAGCTCTTAGGAACACTTGTTCTTTTTATAATTCCTCCTACCATGCTTCCATTATTCATTCATATATTTGTCAGGTAGGTGGCTTGATTCTCCCACTTTTGTCATCAATATGTACAGTCAGTGTGAAATTATGTAGAAATTTCAATGACCTCTTTCTGATTCTGACTATAAAAGGAACACATAACTTAAGTTGCATCGAAATACAACACATAATCTACTTAGCAAGCTTAAGTAAATGGATTGCAGAATGGGTTTTAGGAGAAATAACAAAAAGATGAAATTTACTAAGAGCTACAAAGGACAGGAAATTGTGGAGAGACATGATCATCAATGTTCTGAACAGACACGGCACATAGAAGAAGATTTGATTGGCAGCTAGGTCTCCCCATTTTATTGATGAAATTGCTAGATATAACTGTCAGTTTGATTCTAACAGTTTCTTTTCTTGCACTTTCTTACTTTTCTCTTCTTGCTTTCCTGTCAACTATGATCTTCAAAAATTTAAATATAATGTCAATTGTCATCTTTTGTCTTCTTGAATCTCATCCTTTTTATCGTCCTCTCTTCTCAATAATATTTTCACAATTTCTTTCACACTCGTTAATCCCATGCATCTTAGTGACTTTATTGCCTTGTTTCGTGTGAAATGATTAAAAAAAAAGTCCAACAATGGATGAACATGAAGAATGGTGCAGAGACTAAGAACCTTTAGAATGGTATGCAGAATTTCTTGTTATCTACTTGAATGCAACAAGACAATTTATTTGGCATTAGTTCTGTTACTATTCTGAAATTTCCATTTTCTTTGAACTTGAGGGAAATCAAAGAAATTTAATCCGGTTCTTATTCAAAGGCTGCATGATGGAATTCCACTAGTCGCTTTTATCCAATGTAAAACTTCAAGATAATACTTTCAAAGACATCAACATCGTCATATGTGACTAAATATTCTGACCTTTTGATGTTTATATTGCAACATATTTTACGGCTAACCAGTACTTATAAGAATCATGCAACATGAAGCATGAGACCATTTCCATTATTTTAAACATCTTACTAAAAACAATTATTTTGGATAAAAAACACCCCCAACATTCTGGCAGAACTTTGTGGAATAACCTAGAGATGGGTAATCATTTAATCAGCTGATAGGGTGGGGGTTGTTTGCAACTCTTCAAACAGGTAAACTAGTTACTATCAATTCACAATGATAAGTCCCATAACCATGAGGGTTGTAGAGGCATCACATGTACTGCAGCCATAGCAGCAGTGGTGTGTCTTGGGCAAGATAGCTTGATAGAGAGGCCAATCCTCTCAAGGATAGTTTGAATTCAGAACTTACCTTCTCCTAGAATGGTTGCCAATCAAGGCTAGATGCATTTGGTCAAGCTCATTTCATTTAGTTTCTTTTTCTTTTAGTTTATGTCTTTTATTACTTTTGTCATTAAGTATCACATATTGCAATAATAGAACATCTACCAAGAAAGGTGAAATGTTAAAAGAACCTGGATGCAAATTTACTGGGGGATGATCCAGCAATTAAAGCACTTTCTATACACTTTCATTATAGTAAATTGCTTTCTCTTGTAATTAAAGTAGCATTTTTAAATCAAAATTATCATCAAATTCATTACAGTGAGCAAGTAATCCATTTTTTCCAGTTTTTCATTAATTTTCATAAAATTGTTCTTATATATAAAAAATTATGTATCACTTTCTCCCATATATATATATATATATATATATATATATAGATAGATATTAATAATAAACAAGAAGAAAACATTAAAGATTCATTTTAGTAAAATCTCTTTATTTCAGTCAGTATTATTATTATTATTATTATTATGATTTGTAGTCCACATTACCCATAAAATATATATTCCCTACTATTCCAAACATTATTTTGTGGATACCCATGTATGAGTAGACACCCTGTTTCCACCTTGAAATTATCCCTACCAGTCACAAAATATATATATATATATATATATATATATATATATATATATATATATATATATATATACACACAATATATATACACACAATATATGTATATATATATATATATATATACACACACACAAACAAACAAGAAAATAACATTTCTGGTTTATTTACCAATAAACAACTGTTTCATACTTCCATACAATTTTTAAAAATGGGTGCCTCTTTATTTAGAATGGACTTGAAATCTATTATTCTTTTCAGATTTTACAAAATGAATGTGTCAGCATGCCAATAGTTTGAAATAATTCAATTTCTGTCTTTTATTAAATTGCTCATGTTTTTTAATTCTATAATTTGCATTTTCTCCTCTATGCATAGATTGCAATTTCTGTTTGTTTGTCCTTTTTTTTATGTACACACACTATTCTGATAAGTGTATTTTTCTTTTCACTTTTAGTTCCTATATATATATATATATATATATATATATAGGAACTAAAAGTGAAAGAAAAATACACTTATCAGAATAGAATCTATGCATGGAGGTAAAACTGCAAATTTTATAGAATTTAAGAACGTGGAGAATTTAATAAACTAAAGAAATTAGATTATTTCAAACTGGTAGCAAGCTGATCCATTCCCTTTGAAAAAACCTGAAAAGAACAACAGGAGCATTAAAAATAAACTAGCACCCATTTTGAAAAATTGCTAAATGTGAAACTGCTGTTACTGGATAAATAAATCAAAAATGTTATCTTTATGCATATTAAAAATTTCTTAACTGTATTTAAAATAGAGCACTTTTATATGTAAGAAAAGGAATATACAAATAAAATATATATTCCCTACTATTCCAAACATTAATTTGTTGATACCCATGTTTGAGTAGACATCCTGTTTTTTTTTGAAGCAGTGTAATCAAATCTACTGGTCTGTGCATTCAGGAGACTTAATAAAGAAAATATGTTCTCTCTGTGGCTAAGATGTGGCTGAAGGGAGATGTAGTTCCCATACTCTGCCAGAGAGCACATATCTTTTGAAAATAACAATGATGTTTTCAGATAGAAATCCTACTATTTAAGCCATAGCTGGAGGGAGAACATAACTTCATACCTTTTCCAAAGCTATTTGTATGTAATTGAATACAATGAACCTGACTGAAATTGAAGTTAGCTGTTTGATTTCTCATTCCAAGGTGCTATCTGCTACCCCCACATGGATAGCGGAAATAAAAGGCTATTTAGTTACAGTTAATCTTCTGCTAATGTTGGTTTTTATAGCATAAATGGTAGAGTGGTTGTTAAATTGAAACAAATTTTGTGAAGAAAAAGGAAGACACGTTCATGCCTTGTCAAAAGGTTATTGTTTTTACTTAGTCTTTAATCATTTACTGTCTGAGTTTGATATGATAAAAAGCAACCAATTTCAAAATGAGAAAGTACTTGTCAAAAT